GTTATGGTGTTGGAGGAGAATATTGAAAGTGCCGTGGGCTGCCAAAAGAACCAATAGATCAGTTTTGGAAGAAGTGCAGCCAGAGTGCTCTTTGGAGGCCAAGATAGCCAAACTTCATCTCTCATACTTCGGACATATTGTCAGGAGGGACCAGTTGCTGGAGAAAGATATCATGTTTGGTAAGGTGGAAGGTCAGAGAAAAAGAGGAAGACCCCCAATGAGATGGATTGGCCAAGTGGCAACATCAATGGACTCAAGCATGGCAACAGTAGTGAGGTTGGCCCAGGATCGGGCAGAGTTTCGTTCTGCTGTGCATAGGGTTGCTATGAGTCAGTATTGACTTGATGGCACCTAACAACAACAAGGTTCTTTTCTAGAATCTTGGTGTGGTGCTGTGGGTTAATGCGCTGGACTTCAAAGTTGGTTTGAACTGCAAGCTTAGCAATTCAGGTTCACCAGCCGCTCCTCAGAAACCTTACACAAGGTCACTATGAGTCAGAACTGACGCCACGACACTTAACAACAGTCTTTTGGGGTTAATAAATGAGCACAACATTTTTTAGTAAAATTCGAGCTATTGCCTTCATTAGCATTTTGAAATGAGGAGCATGAGTTTTTATGTGTGTGTATACTCGTATGTGTGTATATATGCATGCTTATGCCCTAATTTTTATTTATATTGAATTAGAGATTGAGTGATGATTAAATTGAGGGCCAGGGCACTGCCTCAAGAAAAGATGGCTATAGTATTTAGGTCTTTGATGATTTTATATGTGGTTTAGGGGAAAAATTTTTGTGGAAAACTCTTCACAGTGACCAGGTACAGTGGGAAGCTGCACTGTCTACTGGGTGTAGATTGATTCATCATACTTCTATACGTTGTTAAGTGCCATTGAGTCGGTTCTGACCCAGAGTGACCCTGTGTATGGTTTCTAAGGAGTGGCTGGTGAGCTTGAACCACTGATCCTGACGTTCAAACCGACTTTGCAGTCTAGCACGTGAACCTGCAGTGCCACACCAGGACTCCAACTTCTATATACAATTTAGTTAAGTTACAACATGACAATTCCAAATATATTGGCATGGACACCTCCTTAGCTGTTACAGTTTTGGATTCCCTACTACTTTTGTTTACTCTACCTGTTTTCCACTGCAAATGTCACGGCTGTCTTGGACTTTCTCTGACCCCTATTCCAGGTATCTTATATTCCCCTTTGGTTTCTAATCTAGAACTGGCCTGAGAAAGGAAAGGAATAGGGATAGTCAGTCATGAGGTTTCTCTTCTACCTTCTCTTCTTCATTCTAATATGAAGGTATAAAAAAAAATGATACCCACTACACTCCTCCCACAATCCTCTCTTTTCAACTAGATGTGATAATCCATTGCAGTGATCACACAGAATTCAGACACCATATTCACCATTATGGAGTTTATTAGGAAAGCTACCAGGTTACAATTCAGGATCAGAAAATGCTCAGGTAACAGTTCTTTCAGTCAGGTTAGCCTCTTCCCAGCCATGCCCACAGGCAGGCTTCTCATTGACCCTTGGCCCCTTCACCTGGCCTCTGCTCTGCTTGGCATTGTTATAAAACTCTTTTAGAGCTGCTGATAAATGCCCAAAGGATACTCCACTCTCCTAAAGCCTCAGTCCAAAGGCACTAAGCCCTAGCTCCCCAATTAAGTGCCTGGAGGCACCCCACTCCACAAACAAGCCTCCTGCCCAAAGGCACTTAGCTTTATTTGTCCTATGTGCTGAGAAACCCACCACTCAGTCTGATGTCCTGGCTTTTGGTTCTGCTGCCACTGCTCCTCTGCCACTCGTAAAA